ATAATTTTTTAGCTAATGGTTAAAGAAATGGAGAAATCAAAAAATTCATTAGGTTCAGCTGCAACAATGCATTGGGTAAAAGATTATTTACGATATCTTGCTAATCCGCATGCTACCAAACTTGATGTTTTCTTTGGAATTTCTGGTGTAGAAGCTAATGGAACAGTTTATATGGAAAATGGTTCATTATTGATTTCTTTTAAATCAAAAAAAAAAAATATATTTATTTTGATATTGAGTTTCTTTTATTAAAGAATATTATTATATTTAGCTGCTGATTAACTTGCTAACTAATTAACTGGTTCAATATTATATCACCAAATTAAACAATTAAAATTAAATTCATTTTGCATACGAAGTGATCCTTTATTTGTTGGACTTTTTATTTCATTTTATTAGTGAAATGAAAAAAAAAAAATTTTTTTTTGTTTTTTAGGTTTGGATATGTCACAGTTTGATTTTTTCATCAATACCGAACCATACACAGCATGGAAATTAGGCACTCGATACATGAGAGATACACAAAATAGGTTGGAATTCGAAAACTGTTTAATGCGAATAGAATTTGGCGATTAAAAATTGAAATGTACATTTAATCAAATGCAGTAAGCGAATAAACAACATAAATTGTTTTGAATTTTTCTTTTTTTTTTTCATTTTCAAGCTAGCAATAATCATTATCATTCATCTTTTTCTTCTAATATCATTGATTATTAGCATGCATAACATGAATAGAATGAATGATGATAAGAAATCATAATCATGATAGGAATGATAGCGATAGTAATATTTCTTAATCTTCTATCATCATTTTTATTACAGATATAAAAAGTAATAAATATTTTCTTTCCTTTTTTTTAAACAACATTTCTAATTTTTTATTTTTTTATAAAAGGATGGAAGCATATAACAACATTTGATAAATTGTCTTTTTCGCTGTTAAAGGATTGTGATAACATCGATGCTACTGATAATGGGTTATAATGGTACCTCATCATTATCTGATAAAGCAAAATTATTACGTTCATGCCGTGAAATATGTACACGTTATGCGCAATATGATATGATACCATTTGATACAGATGCGGAATTAATTGATGTTATATTAGCTGTACCTTCAACTACTATTAAGTAAATTCTTAATTTCTTATCTTTTATTATTATCCATGCATATGACAAAATACTAAACATTTAATTGTAATTGTATTCCGAATAGTATGAAATTAATTGCTATTTAAAAAGCTTTAAAAGCAAAAAGAAAAGAAAAAAATATCTGAAATAACAAAAAAACTTAAAAAATTTATCGATTCTAACTAACATTTTTTCTCGATCAGCAGTTCCTGAAAAAAATTAATACTAAATAAAAAACATTTATTAAAACATAATATTATTGAAGGGCAGTTTTTTTTTTGTAATATCATTAAACTTTAATGAAAATAACTTTTTCAGTACGGTATTTTTTACGTTTGGCGCAATAGGTGCAGTATGCTTTATTTTTTCCTTCAATATTGGAGCGTCTATTCTTGCTATCATATCAGTTGTGTCAATCAGTACAGGTAAATTATTTTTTACTAAAGTTATTTTCAAATGTACATGTTCTTGTATGTTGCAAATTAAGAAAAAAGCTATTGCAAACATTTAAGTCGGCACCAAAATTGTAATCTCCTATTATAGATTGTCATCTTTAATAAATAATTTTTTTTTTCTTTGCTTACTTATTTCAATTCCAATACAAATTGATTGTATATGTAATTCACTAAATTCATAAACTAAATACTTGAAAGTGAATGATTTCAGTTTTTTTCAGTAAATGCTACCATTTTATTTTAAGGTGTTATTGGTTTCTTGCAATATTGGAATTGCTTTTTGGATCCAATATTAATGGTAGCTATATTAATAACAGCTGGCTTAAGTATTGATTATACCGTGCATATCATTTTCCATTATGTGATAAATGATTACACTGACAATGTTCAACGAATTAACGCTTCGCTTGAAGCCTGTGCCTTATCAATGTTACAAGTAATTAACTGCCAAGATGATTTGATTTTAACTTTTTTTTCGCTAAAATTTTTTTCTAATTTTATATTTCTATTGGGCTTTTTTTTTTCTCAAAAATTTTCAAGCTGACTTCATTATATAAAGATCAAAATTAGATGTTTATTTCACGTTGATTGACTGATTGATTGTTTGATTAGGATAAAGTGTAATATAATTTTAAAAAATATGATCGAATGCATTTCGAATTAATTACATTTAATGTTCTGCGCAACTAATTTATTTATGTAAAATCATTATAGTTTAATTTAATAAAGATCGAATAAAAATATCTCATCAAATTATTTATACATTTAAGTGTACTTGCTAAGGTTATGTCTAATTTCTCATTTTATAAAATCTATATCTATTGTTTTTCATGTTAATAACACTTTGGTTGAGATATAGAATTTTAAATAACTTTTATTTTTTTCCAATAAGAAATAAAGAAAAAAAAATGAAAATTTCAGGCTGGTATATCAACATTTCTTATCATGTTCCCGGTATTATTTGCTCCTATAGGAATTTATGCTGTAATATCGAAAGCAATCATACTTACAGTAATATTTGGCTTACTGCATGGTTTATTTATTGTTCCTGTATTGCTTACTGCCCTGCCTAATTGTTTTGCTAAGTGTTTGCCTAATTGCTGCATCAAACATTAATTGCTTGTCATTTCATTTCCAATATGTTTGTTAAACATTCCTATAAATAATGACAATATGCAGGATTCTATTTTTCATATTTTAGTCATTTATTTTAAAAACAGATAAAACTAGGGATTTAATATCACTCTTTTAAAAAAATAATTAATTTCTTTACTAAAAATATGAATTCTTTTATTTTTGTTGATTACAATATTGTATGGAGTTTCTTCTTTTTATTGAAAAATATTTTTGAAAATCTTCAAAAATCAATTTTGTAAATTGGATTTATCTTTTTTTGTTCTTCGTATCCGCTTTTTCAATATTTTTAATGTATTTTTAAACTTTACTTGACGTTATTATGTGCATTTCCAATTATTTTACTGATAGGATTTATCGAAAAAAAAAAAAAAACTGCAAAAATCTAATAATTTTGGTTTTCGTATTAATATCAAATTATTTCCTATTCTTTTAAAAATTCATTACTTTCTTTTTTACTTTGCAACGCACAATCATTGTAATCTAATATTTTGAACATCCATTATGGAGTTATTAATTAATTGATTATTTATCAATGTATATATTATTCATTCCTCTTTTTCTTTTTTTTTTTTTTTTGCTTTTTTATAATTTTCTCATCGTTTTCCAATGTGCCATATATTTTCTTTCGTTGTTTTTAATGTCTTAATTTTGTATCTCATTTAAATATCTGAAAGACAATGGAAATGCTTTCTTTATAAATATCACCATTTTTTGGTGACAAATGACATTTATTCACTGCTCAAATATGTATACATATATGTGCGCTATTGATTTATTGATTTTGTTTATTGATTCGATTGAATTCAGGAAATTTTGGCATTTAATTTTGTTCGTTTCTTTTACACTTTCTTATTTAATAACTTATATGAAGGAGACTTGCAAAAAATAATTGCATAAACTTAAATATCTGACTCAAAAATTAAATAATTATTCGAATCGCTACATTCAAGGACTAAAACCTGTTTCACACTGAGCCAATTTTTCTAATCATTCTAATTTTGATTGTGTATTCAGTGATTTACATGTATTACTGGACCATTCAGATAGATTGGAAGTTAACATTGCTATAGCAATTCATGAAATAAATGATTTGCTTTTTTTTTTTTTAATTTTATTTTTTCTAAAATAATATCAAATATAATTTCCACTAAATTTTTATTCCTTTTCGTCTATCTCTTTATTTGCTTATATTCACACAAAAAAGAAAGAAAATCGGTAATAATTTGCATCCTCAAATGTTACATTTTTTAACACCGAAAGAGTAAAAAGATTTTGCTTTCTGATATTTTTTGCAATTTTTCCAACAGTTACATTATTTTTTCCTATTCTTTCGGAAGAAATGAATTGCCAGATGTTTGATTTTTTTATAATAAAGTGTTATTCTACCTAAAAAAAAAATAATGAATATGTAAAAACATCAATAATGCTAATTTAGTAAAATAAGAATTTAAGCAGAAATAATTAAATTTATCTGTATTAACAAATTAATAGAATTAAGGACTAAATGAAAAAATTGAATTTGAAAGTTAGATAAAATTTATGCCTTTGCTAATTAATTTGATTTAGTATCAAACTTAAAATATTTTGAAATGAAATTCGGAATATTTCAAGTTAGAAATGAATTAAAAAAGAGGACTAACTCAATGATTATTAGTGTTCAAATAATTTACTAATTTTTTAATATTAAATGAAATTAGCTATGCTGTATACATGACGAAGACGCCTTAAAACCTTTATTTTTTTGAAAATGAATTGAACATATAACAAAATTTTATGACATTTTTTCACTTAAAAATTGGATAAAAATAGGAAATGTTTCATAAAATGTCGGTTTTTATAAAATCTATCAAAAACTTTATTGTATTTCTTCAAACATAATAACAATGAACAAGAAGGAAGCAATGATAAAAAAAATTTTAACTGAAATGCTACATTCATTATAATGCTGGTGGAGTACGGTAAGTAAAGTCATAGGTGTTGGCTAATTTCTCCAGAATTCTCCTGAAACTTTTTTTTTTTTTTACCGAATGCGGTAAATCAATTCATTTCATTTCACAAATAATTATAAAAATGTATTTCAACTATGTATGTGCACATGCAAGTAAAGGAGAAAAAAAAATAAATATCTTTTAATTGAAAATTGAACTGAAATATTCTATTAAGCAGTTATCAGTGATTCGGAATATTGCTGACAATACCGTACATGTACGTCGGATTACTGTAGTTGCAATCGTGCTCATAGACTGACTACAGTAAATTCATATGTTAAACACAGAATCATAATTTGGTGACCATTTCAACAACATCATTTACCGCTTGCTTAATTGCAATGATTGATTCCTTGATTTCGTTATTGGTTTCGTTCGTTAGCTAAAATTTTCAAATATCAAAATTTAACATAATTTAACTTTTGTATCATATCAGAGAAATATAAATATTACAATAAAACATCTGGACATAATAAATAGATGCATGAAATAAATATTGTGAACGATTATGTTTTTTAGTTTTATAAGTAACAACAAGTAAACACAGGTAAATGAGAAAAAAATTTTTTAATGGCTTAATGAATTATATTTTATTAAAAATTTCACTGAAATAATTACTTATTTCATATAGTTCAGAATTATTTTAATTAAGTCATGGATTCAAATATTCAAATATCAATAACAAATGAATCAGTACTGTGTGTGATCCACACTCAAGTATCTTTGCTAACGAAAAAACTTTATTACGATGTTTTGCTTTATATATATAAATTAAATGCTGAATGATATACAAACTACCAATTGCAGTATTTATTTATTTATTTATTTATTTATTTATTGTAATTGAATGAGAATATTTACATCCGAGTGATACTGTATTGGAAGATAAAATCGGCACATCAATGGATATAAATGTTCGGTAGAACTATCAATTAATGAGCGCAACTGATCAAGCAAATCATACTGATAGTAATTTTGTATTACATCCAATCCATTAATTGTTTCATCTTGTTCACACATATTTCGTATTAATTCTTTCTGAAAGTGATCAATTATACAAGCACATGTGTAATTCAAAAAGAAAATTTAATTCTTTTGTTTTTGTTTCGATTTATTTTTTAATCATCCTAAATTAATCATTTATCTAAGCACATTTTTTAATAATTTGATAAGATTAATATTGGACAAATATCATGGATTTACTTAGTATTATTCTATTATGCTATCATTATCACTACCGATGTTTGTTATCACTACCATTACCAAAATTATTATTATTATTATTTATTAACATTTTAATTATTTAATTATTATTATTATTGCTAATATCATTTTATTATTTAATTATTATCAATTATTATTACTATTATCATTATCATTGTCAGTATCATTGTTAGTACCATTTTTACTTTATTGTTACTACTATTATTGCTCCATTAATAAAGAACATATATGAGCTTAATGATGCGCAATTTCAGTTAATCTATTAAGTAGTTAATCTAATACTTCATCATTTGCTGTATCAATAAGCACCAATGAAAAATAATTTGTTTATATTTGCAGCATAAATTGGATAGTCATTGCAAAATCAAAGCGCAAATTAAAATCGACATAAGGAAATTATATTAGTTATGTGCTATTTTTTTTTTTTAACTTTTTCGTTTTAATCGATAAAAAGAATAAAAAGGTTAAAACTTTTCATTAAGTTTACAAATTTTAATTATTCAATTTTATTATGTTACTTAAAATAATATGTCATTTTTTGATATCAATTCTATCAAATATTTTCCATTATTTTTATATTTTTATTACCATGGATTCAACTGAATAAAAAAGGAAACATAAAAAGTTTACTCGACACTCCAAATGACAGATCTGAAAAGCGCATTGTTTATTCAATTGCCAATATTGATAAATTTCAGCTAAATTAGCGGCTACTTCATAAAGGTATGATTTTTCATTCCCTTTTGTTGGATTTCGTCGTGCAATATGACGACATATTTCATTACACTCATTATGTGCACCTGTGCTAGTTAAGCTGAAAAGATTTCGTAAACTGATCACTTCAAAATTATGTTCTTTTAATATTCTAACAACAGTAAATAGCATGGAAAAAGATACTGAAAAAGAAAGAAAACGAGGAAATGATTAAATATATATTTAAATTTAGAAAATTCTCGTAAATGATAGACAATTTGCAATTTTCAGAAACAATCAAATATATTTTGTGAAATTAACATTTTGTACTGCGTTCTGGAGAAAAACAAATTGAAAATATTAAGATTTTTCTTTTTTTCCCCATTTTTTCTTTCCTTTCTATAATAAATAGGTCAACAAGGAAGTGAATAAGTGTAAGATTTAGGTAATTTTATAAGGTAAATGAAAATGCATTTTTCTTACTTGAAATTTTATAAATTTTTTAAAAAGTTAAAAAAAAATGTTTGAAAATTTCATAAGATGAAATTTATTAGATAAGAAAGAGTGAGGAAAAAAGGAGACAAACTTACTTCAAACAATTAAGTGCATTTTCAAATTGCAATCTTTTAAAGGTGCAAATATGTAAATCACTGCTCCACGATATTTGTTTATGATTCATTTTACATTGCATATTCCAACATGCTAATTTGTGTTCGGTTATATTGCAAAATGTATAAAAATTATCAAATGATGCGGTGATTAATTCATCTAATGGAAATTCATAAAATTCTTCATCATAATTCTTTTGGAAATGCATCTGTAAAGAAACTTTGAATTTAAATTAGGAGAAAAAAACAAAGAAGAAAAAAAAGATGAGGAGTGGAAGGATGAATGAATGGAACCATACAGTTTAATGTAGATCAAATAGAAAGTAATAAGAAATGAATAAAATTTAAAAATGATTTTATGTTTTTTTTTTTAAATCAAATCTAATGAATGGGTCAGTGATGGAAATGATTGATTGGCTAAAATGCTAAGTAATCGATTTGCTTCCTTTGCGCTTAGTGATTACAAGTGATGGTTTACAAATAAAAGCAATGGATTGAAAAGAAAAAAAAATAAGAGGATAGAGCAAATAAAAAAAGTCAAAAGTTTTTGAAGCAGAATTTAGGAAAAAATTTATGGCATAAATTAGGAAATTATTGTTTGTTGCAAAAGACAACATTCTTGGTCTAATATTATTGACTAAAAAATTGCTTTTTTTTAAGAAAAAAATTTAATCATTTTTAATGTTTACCACATATGTTATTGCATTTTAAGGAAATTAAAGTTTTAGCTAAGAAAAAATGGAAAATTTTTCGTCTTTTTTTTTTTTTTTTTAAATATTTTGGATATGAATAGAAGCATTTTATTCTAACAAATGCAATTCAAAACAGTGAAAATAGTAAATAAATTCATTTTAGCGCATAAATGATTACTCACATGATGAGATGACAAATAGTGAATGATTTCATTTTTATGTTCCATAAATAATTCAGTTACAGCATAAAACTTCGCAAATTCAAGTTTTAATTTTCTTAATTCTGATCTTTTCCATTTAATATTACATATATTTGTTATACCAAAATTAGATCAAATAAAAAAATTTGGTCTTTTTTCTTTTGAAAAAAGTTTCTGTGCAACTTCACAACTTATATTTGAGTTCTTTTTTTTTGCCTTCAGTTGAGCAGCAATGCAATAATTTATGAATAAAACTAACATGAAAATCACTTTTCCATTGTGCATCACATTCAGCCTTACATTTGGTTAACTCGTGCTCACTTGTACCACGACGAATGCTACTAGTATTATTGCTATTATCATTATCATTATCATTGTTATCACTACTATCACTACCACTATTATTATCAACAATCCTTTTCAGATAATCACCATTTTGGTGAATATTTTCTGTTAAATGCAAATTGCAGCATTGTTGTATTGTTGAATTTTCATTGACATATGCCGTTATTGATGCTAGCACTACAAATAAATGATTAATAAAGTTGTAAAATTTTTTCAAATTTCAAAATAAATTCAAATTTTCTGGCATTTTCCATTCTTATCTAATTATTTATCTATTAGAAATTGTTCTTTTGCTTGCTTATGATTAAAATATTCATTAATCTTTTGCAAAAATTTGCGAAATTTCGACTAAAATATTAAATTACTAAATATTCTGCGTCATTCAATCATCCATTCATCATTTAAAACAGTTTAAGTTACTTATTATATTTATAATTTGTGTTTTTCTTTTCATTTTGCAATCAACAAGATTGCAATGTCATTTTAAAGATAACATTTTGAAATAAGAAATAATACAAAATATATACTCATTATTCAGCAAAAATAAAGAAAAAACAAACCAGCAGATATAGTTGTTACAAAATTCAATTCCATCGTTACCCAATGTTTTCTTTCTAAATATTTAAGTGAAATTTGACAAATTCAAACGATTGGTTGGATAAGAAAAATAAATTACAAAGAAGTAATTAGTATTACTTGGAGATATTGACCGATTATTTATTGCAGCATTGTGATGTTAATAGTTTGCATCTTACGGATTTTTTTCCTTTTTTGTTTCACTACAGTGAGAAATGTTTAAATATATTTGAAGGATAATTATGCTCAATTACGATTCTAGCAAAACAGTAGGAAGGAAATCAGTTAAAAAAAATTAGTAAGATTTAAAACATATAAAATGACAAAAGAACATATTTTTAGGGAAAAGATTGATAATATAAATAATTTTCAATCCCTGAATGGTTGAAATGTTTGGACTAAATTGAATAAATATGAAATAAAATAGTGAAATGGATGGAACGGTGGATCGTTATTATCATTACATACTATTATTATTAGAACTATTATTATTACTATAAATATCAATAATAATATTATTAACATTATTATCATGACCAACATTACAATTACTATTTAAAAAAAATTCAATATGCTTAAAATGTACAGCAAACAAATATATTATTTATGAAATATAAAAATGATTTGATTCCTTGTGATTAAAAGAGTTATGCAAGAAACAAAAACAAAAAAAAAAAATGCAAAATAAAATACTGCTCACAAATGAGTTATAAAAACAAAATAAATAAACATAGGAAAAACAAAAATAAGCAAATAACAAAAAATTTCTTGTACATTAAACGACTTTCCATCAAATAATGCGAGAGCAACGAATAAGATGGTAAAAGAATAAAAAGAAAGAAAAAAAAAGTTAAAATGAAAAGGCGGAAGAGGAGAAAGAAGAAAGAGGAGGAAGAGATATTCAGAATTTTGAAGTAATCAAATGTCAATATCATGTTAAATTTTTCTACATAATAAGGCAAAAAAATTGCTATATATCATAATTATTTTACAAATATCCATTGGATGTTATAATAAATAATAGTAGTAGCAATAGTAACAAATAATAATTTTGATAATAATAATAGCGAATAATAATGATAATGATAGTGATAATAGTAATAATAATAATAATAATAATAATAATAATAATAATAATAATAATAATAATAATAATGATAATGATAATGATAATGATAATGATAATGATAATGATAATGATAATGATAATGATAATGATAACGATAACGATAACGATAATGATAATGATAATGATGACGATAATGATAACGATAATGATAACGATAATGATAATGATAACGATAATGATAACGATAACGATAACGATAATGATAATGATAATGATAATGATAACGATAATGATAATAATAATAATAATAATAATAATAATAATAATAATAATAATAACAATAATAATAACAATAATAATAATAATAATAATAATAATAATAATAATAATAATAATAATAATAATAATAATAATAATAATAATAATAATAATAATAATATTAATATTAATAATAATAGTAACTAAATAAATAACTTCATCCTTAATTTGTGTGATAATTGAAGCGCTTTTCGTAGCACTTTCTAATACATGAGATTGAATATTTAAGCGAATACTATTCTTTTTCGTTTCATTATTAATTTATTATTGAGCATTAATCCTCCTTGTATGTGCAGAAATAATAACAATAAAAATTTTTTCTTTTCAATTTGATAACCATTTATTACTTACAGTAATTGTTTTTCCCATTTTCATTTGTCTTTCTTTTTCATTCATTTTTATTTTCAAGAATGAATGAGAAAATAAAAAAGGAAAAATTTATTAAAACAAAAAAGGAGAAAAAAAGTTGTAATATTGGAAGACATAAGTGGGAGGTAATCAAAAATGAATCAAATTATTTATTATTTGACTCATTTTTGATCAATTAACTTTTTTAATTAATTTTGTGCTTAATTAATTTAAAACTTAACTGCTTCCTGTGACTTTTAATGAATAAAAAATTAGCGTACAAACGAAGTGATAATGAGCGATGATTAGTAGTAGTAAGTAATATTTAACTGATTTGAAAAGGCACAATTTGAGATAAAATAAAAATAAGTGAGATGAATATACTAATTGAATTGATAATCGAATCGTTCATTTCCAGTGTGAATACTGAAGGTATATGATTTAGCTGAATACTTTATATATAAATGATTATTTTTAACTTTTGAAAACTAATTTTACAAATAGCAAAACTTTCAACTCTTGTTAAATAAAAGATTCACATTTAGCAGTTATAGATTTTGTATTAGTACTTGAATATTTTATTTTATTTCTCAAATACTGCAAAAGAATTCGCAATATTGGAATGTGTATTAAAATGTGATGGAAGTAAAATGTGAAATCAGAAGTGATTAAATTACGATGAATAAAAAGTAAATTTGTTTATTGGTTAAAAAAGAGAGTAACAAAGATTTGGCCATGAAATTAACAATGTTAATAGCTGCATTGAACATACCTATTGACCAGAAAATTTTTTTTTTTCTAATAAAGTGTCCTTAACCATTTATGAAATGTCATCATTCTGCTGTTCAATTTATTTTATGAATTTATAAATATTAAATTAACAAAATGCTTATTTTATCAAATACGGAAAAACAAAACCGAAAATTTGCATGATTACAGTTCAAGCCGTTCCGGTTCATTATGATTATTACGTCCATTAAATACATCATTACTGTTATTCATGAAATTATTTTTAGTCAACTTTCGGAAATGTTGTGAGTTGCGGAATTCGGCAAACAATGTAAAAAGTACATGAAGTGATTGAATTCGAGATTTTTGCACAGGTATGTCTAATAATGCCAAACAAATGTCAACATAATCTTCCAGTGAAACATCCAATGCTGCGCTTGGTAACTGCAAAATAATAAATAATATTGATTAAATTCATTTCATCTTATTGTTATTTTATATAATATTATGCATACGAAATAAAAATTAATTTAAAAGTTCCAAAAATTTCAAATGAATTAAATAAAATTATATAATTAAAATAAAAGTGTTATAACGTTAACATTACAGAAAAGTCACATCATACTATCCATCCTTATTGACAATGCTAGAATAAGTAAACAAGGAAACAAAAAAAAAAAAAGGAAAAATGCTGTGACAAAAACAACAAAAACAATAACAACGGCAATAATATGGCTTATTTCGGAATACAATAGCAATAATATGGTCTAGCTTCTAAATTTGAACTTATTTTCTTAACCATTTAGAGCTGAAGCATTTATTTATTCAGTTACCAATAGATCAAATGATTTTTATCAGATTATCATTCTGATAGTCTAACAACAATTAACCAAATGTTATAACTACCTGTTCATTTTTTAGCAAATTCTCCACTTCAGTTGGCCATTCTTGCATTAAATGTTCAACATTTGGCATCGGTTTGGTATATATTACAATATCAGCTGGTTTAGTTCGATGTATTTCCTAAAAGGAAAAAGCAAGAAAAAATTTATAATTTTATTAATTTTAGTTTAACAATCTAAATTAATTCCTTTTTTGATTAAAAATATTTTTTTAAAAAAAAGAATCAAGATTACATTTATAACTAAAAAATTATAGTACTAAAAAACCTTAATACTACTTATCCAATGTTCAATTTCTTCAATATTTTCATCAGCTCGTTCCAATTTTTTCACCGGTATATCCTTTGCTAATGTATTTGTACAATGTTTTAATTCGTTACGTATTTTCAAATTTAAAATAATGGGATCGCTTTGTTCCAGTGCTGGCTCATCCAACACTACCAAACCCAAATCATCTTCCATCTGTACAATAAATCAACTTCTAATCATAAAAGCTTATTAAGAAAATTTTTCCTCAAGAACAACATTTCTGATTTAAATGATTATAAATTCTACAGTTTATGTTATCATTTCTATTAACATTAGAGAAAAAAATTATTTAATTAAAAAAAAATGGCAAAAGTTTATGAAACTTACAAATAGAGGTTGCTAATTCCAAAAGTAAGTTATTAATTAAACATCTAAATAGCATATGAATAAATTTTCAATGCTAATTAACAATCTATCGCAATATGTATTGATTTGATGAAAGAAAAATTAAATAGTTTACCTACAAAAATTTATCAAAATTTATAAAGTTTGCAAAGGAAGAATAAATTCATTGTTTTTAAAAAGGACTTATTAAATTATAACTTATTTTTAAGCTATTATTTGGTGCACTCATAATTTAAATTATATTTAAATTATAAAAAAAAAAAATACAGAATTATTAAAGTGTAAAAAGTATCTAAAATTCCAATAATACCGAAAATTAATTATAATTATTGTTAAAATGAATTAAAAATAGCAATAAAGATTCAGCAATGTCGTTAATTATATAAAAATTATATAAATTTTTTCACGATTTCTAAAACTATGAAATAACAAGCAAGAGATAAGTCAACAAAAAAAAAAAAATTAATTGAAAAATAGAAAAAAGTGTTAAAAACGAAAATCTGACCTCATCTGGTCGTGGTATTTTTATAAATGCATCAACGTCACCAACAGCTGGTATATAATCCACAAGAAATGGTTTTAAAATTGGCTCAATATGTATCATTTTTGCATTATACGAATCGATGTATGACAATAATTCTTCTTCATCAGTGCCAAAATATGTAAGTAAATTTGCACCTAAAATTATTGGTTTTTTTTTTTTATTCATTTTTATTTTAATTGAAATTTTAACTTTTTAATACAGAAAAAAAAAAAACAAAAGTTTAAAAGAAATTTATATCAAAAGTAAGATAACTTTTTCGTCCTTTTTTCATTAAAACATTCTGAATTTTTTAATAAAAAAAAAAAAAAAAATGAAAAAATTATCAAACACACTGAGTGTGAAAAAATTAGCATAATTGATTTGATCGCAAATTTATTTATTACTACAATAGCATTTATTATTGGCTTTTTTCCTTTTTCAAAAATGATTAGAAAACAAGCTTTGATGTTTAATTTTCCATTCACAAAAGGACTGAAATTTCTTAACATTATCATTTTCTGGTGTTGTAATATCACTAGTAGCATTTGCAGTTGCAACAGTGGTCATTGCCGCCAAATCATTGGCACCATGAATCATTGTACCAATAGCGCTCGTATCTTCAATATTTTAAAATGACCGTCAATTATAATAAACAAACATCCTAATTGAGCGTTACACTATTTAAGTGTACCATAATTTTTTCCCTTAATTCAATAGTACTTTACTAATATTTTCATGTTTTGACATTTACTGAACTGAAAGTACTTCATTTTTTATCACTTGAAAATGATAATTTCTTTTTCGAACTATCTTCATCGATAGGATAAGCTGGCAATGATTCTGTCAAATCTTCCATTGACCTATTTTTTTACTTTTTCTTCAAAAATTTCAAATACTTTAATAATTGTTATAACTAAGAAATAAAAAAAAAATTAAACATTAAGAATTTATCAAAAAATTAAATCATTTTTATGAACTGATCAAGAAATTTCCATTACTTATTTTTTTTTTTTTGCCCTCTTCCAGCTCTCTCTCATTCAACACAAAAAATGCATTAACAAGATGAAATTTTTGCAAAAATTTGCGCAAAAAACACATAAATTATTTATTTAATTACAATTAGACATAAACAATGTATTTATTTAATTACACTTATTTGTTTAATTATAATTATATTTAATCATATTCATATAGTTGTTATTTTATATTCATATATAATCGTTATTCCTTCTATTTTTCATTCCAAAGTGTAAATTGCAAAATAACTTTTTTACTTCTTGTTACAAAATAATGAATGGAAATTGTGCTACCTGCGACAAAATTACTTTCGCCATCTGATGCAAGTGCATTTTCTTTAGTAAACTGAAACAATACACCTAATACATCTAGACGAATAATACTTATGTTATTAAATTTTATTTCATTAAATTCAAAATCAAACAAAAAAACTATTCAAAATGGGAAATTTCCTTCCAGAAAAACTTTATAATTGCTAGTAATTTAAGCAGATATTTAATAACTATGGTTTCAATTTAATGTTTGCCAAACAATTATTTAAATTTCAAACAATACCTGAACTTGCTGATTTTGTGCTGAATGTAAAACTTTTTGGCTTGCACCTTGAAATAGAAAATTTATTAAATTACATTTGATTATTCCGCGAAACAATCCAAATAATATTTTTTTTCTCGAGTTGCATAAGTTAGTTGACATTATTTTACAATTTTCATATCATGAAGAGCCTATTACTTATATGAAATACTGCACAAAGTTTGCTAATTATCTCCATTGTTTGTCATAAGTTATTATTTTAAAAAATTAAAAGGAAAAACTTCTTACCAAAAAGAGAAAAAAATATTTGGTTCAAAAAAGAGAGAAAAGCGTTAAAAAAGAGCATAAAATTAAACTTTTCAGCCAATTTATCGAGAAGTTTATTTTTCATATCAAACATTACTTAATGATAAATCGATTTCAGATTCATCGGTTGATTTTGATTCTTCGCTCACTGCTATTTCTAAAAAACTTCGTCACGTAATCAAGCATGGAATAATTTAAAAATGATAATGCAATTAAATTGCAAAATATGAAGTGAAAAACGACATACTTGATAAAAAATTATTTATGATTAATATATGAATTAATTAAATCTTAAAAATATTATATCGTCTCAAAAAAAGAATTTCTAAATTCAATCATTTCATATGAGATGGAACAGTGAAATCTTCAACATTTGTAAGTTTACTTAATTAAATCCATCAATATATCTAACAATAATTGAACAAATTTATTTAAACAAAATCGCCTAATTATTTTTTTCCTTTCCAAATGGGAAAATAATTGAAATTAAACTTACTTTTGTTCATTGTTATCTTTCTTTCTTTCGTTGCTTATTAAAAATCAAATGTATACAATCAATTTTCGATTTTCCGTTTCCTTACAATTTCTTAATTACAATATAATTTCATCTTAAAAGAAGGCAAACTTTTTTTTTTCTTGTAAATAATTCAATTTTGTAACATAATTTGTCGTTTACTCCAGCATTTTTCATCGAATTTGTTGTAGTTCGCACTTTAAGCAAATGTAGCTTAATTAATTAGATTTATGAATAATAAACTATTATTTTGTTGCTAAAGAATTTGAAGTGGTACTTTTCCAATTTCTTAAGAAATGAATGAATAGGTGGAAATGTTAAAAGTGAACTCAGAAACTAGTGTATGAAATTGAATACTTGAAATTTTGATTGAATTGATTAGCAATTTAAGTAAGTAAAAAAAAACTGATAGAAGATTCTATGACAAACTTCATTGTTTTATGGCTTATCATATCAATCAATCATTTATGTGACTAATCAAATTAATATGTCATTTGTTTGTTTTGTCGAAAAGGAACTCTGTTTGTGGTGAATCAAACTGAAACCTTATTGTATTACACATTGATGATAAGCTTGCTGTGCTTGCATATGAGTGAGACAGGCCTTAGTGTTTTGTTTTGCTGTGATGAGACAAGTCCTAGCACTTTGCTTGCTTGTAGTGGGACATGCTTCAGTCCATTTGTCAGACATTGAAATTATCGGGCCTTTTTTCATTTCTTAACTGTTTAGTTTTATAAAATGAGACAATACTTTGGTTATCTTAACAAAATAAATATAGAAATTATTTTCCCCAAATATTTCAATTTAATTCTTGCAAATAATAAATTTAATACTGAAAATCAGACTGCTAATTTTAATTGCTTTCCAGCGCTGATTAGATGTCGCAGAAGAAATGACAATTTTCACATTTTACAAGTCCAATAATTTGGAGAGTGCTACTTTAACTATATCAATAATGGCAAAGAGATAATTAGGGTTATTTATTTTATTTCAAACTTATACTCAAATAAAACTTGAAATTTTAATCTTATCCTTGCCACCTTTGTAATTTTAATTCTCCCCCTATTTGTTTTGAAATTTTACATAACACTCATCAGGTGTGATAAAGCAATGATTATTTGAGGGAAAAGATATGTTAAGAAAAAAAGGAAGACAGGGAGGCAAAACAAAGAGAAAGAGATAAAGAAAGAGAAGGAGAAGGCATGTCTGTCCAGAAAATGTCAGTAAATTTCCAATGGAATAAAATAAAATAAACAACAAAATTTTAACAATAAACAAAGAATTTATTGTTTGGAAATTTTCGTAAAGATGATAACAATACAAAGAATGAATCATATCAATGTATGATTGATTAATGCGATAAATATGTTATTTGAAATGAAATGATGAAATTGATTGAAGTGTATGGCAATTCCTCTTTAATATACTAAATATATTGCATAAAATAAGAAATTTGAAAATTAGAAATTGTTCTTTCTCCGTTCCCTTTCCAAAAAAAAAAAAAAAAAAAAGAAAAAGAAAATCGAAAAGCATTTAAATGTCCATTTTTTGCTTTTTTTTCGAGTGATTTTCGTCCTTTAATATTAGCAGAGAGAATACAAGAAAAATGTTTAAAAGCAAAAAAAAGTTTTACTATCAAATAATTTGTGTCTATTTTAGCAATCTTAAAAATGAATTAGGCAAAGAAAGAGGGATTTTTAACCGCTTCTATTGCTTCATTTTACTCATTTATTGATTAAATTAATTTTTTGGAATGAATTGATCTATAAAACTGTAAAAATGCAATAAATAAGCCAAATAATTCCCTAAATGAAATAATGAAATTAATTAAAAAATGAAATAATATTGAAATTAATAAATTGTTGCACGAAAGAAAAATCACAAAACTATGATTTGGAATGAACGGATTTACAAATCTGCAGAAATGCTATAAATAAGCTGAATAATTCGTCTAACTGAAATTGTTATCCGATAATTCGATAATGTATTTATTCCTCGTTGCTATTAACAACCAATCCATTTAAAGAGTACTTTTCTTGGCTAATATTTATCCAATAAGTACTTTTCCTTGGCCAACATTCATCTAATAGTAATAAAGCCAAGTAGATTAATAAAAATACCAATCAGAGAATCGAAAGACTATCCATTCTTGTTCATTAAAATTAGTTATTGATAATTAGTGTCAGTTAATGGAAGATGAAATAAAGCCAATAGTCGTAGTTATTGACTATTATGCTAAACACGAACTAGGAAATTATGATTATTAGGTTTAAATATTTTAAATGATTTGGATTAAATATTTTAAATTAATACCGTACTATTAATTTTCGCATACACTATTAATTTTCGGCACGAAAATTCAACATATCAGCTGATTTTATTTGATTCATAATCAGTTGAATGACCAACTTTTGCTTGTAAAATCATCGATTAGATTACTAACTTTTGATCATAATCAGCATCTGATCTCTTTTTTAAATATGGAAAAGCTAGGATTAAATTAGTTTATCTTTTAAATTATTTATGTTGCTTGAAACTGATATGAGAAAATCCATTATGGGTAATATCAAAATAAAAAGGCAATCAATTAGTAATTTTCTTTCAAAATGAAAGAAATATTGATAGAACAGTAAATGACTAATTATTGAGTAATAGAAATAAAATAAAAATGGCGGAAAAAAAAATAGAAATTAACATTATAAATAGAACAGTTTTCACATTGAACAGCAACAACGGCAAAAAATGATTCCAGCAGTGATAGCAAAGATAAATTCCATAAAATTGATTAATGCTGATATAATATTTAACATATTAAACAAAAAAAAAGGAAAGTGTAAGCAAAACTTAATAATAATGATGCAAAAATATAACTGCGCTATTTTAGATATTACTCGTATTAAATGCTTAATCTATTCCTGAAATACAGTTATCCAGTTAAAAAGAACTATGCAGAAATATTTAAATTATTAAATTTACATCATCATTCTCAACAATCATCAAACAGAACAGATTACTGAAAAATTTGCAAATAGAAAAAAAAAATTCGATTTCTTGATGCTAAATAAATGATCGAAATATTTTGATACAAGGAATAAGCAGACAAGAGTAAAAAAGCATGAAATAGTAAGATATATTTATTGGAAATAATACAGGAATTATCCTTGAATCAAAATAGTATGTACTGAAAAAATGACCGGAGAAGTGACCGGATCGAAACCGGTTGTCTTTTTTAAAAGAATATTCTGTTCTGCTATACGTAATGTAAACAAATTATTTATGATGATAAATTTATTTGGAAAGAATAATTGTCACAAAGTTATAATGAACAACAATTAGTACTGATTATTTATATTATCAACAAAATTGTATGATGAAATGCAAATACTCCATTTGTAATCACTTTTTTAAATCTCAAATTTCTGATTGAAATTTATTTAACCACAAGAAAAGAAAAAAAAAACGGATTCATATTTCAGATGGTGAAATATTTCCATAATTAAATTTTAGATATTTTTTTAGATATAAATAGAAGAGAAAAAAAAAATAATATTCATTTAAAAAAGAGTCATTTTGTTGCAACAGCTTAATATTCGTTTTCCTCTTCAAAAAAATCAAGAAAACAAATTTTGAACAGTTTCAATTTTCGAAAGCAACCAAGTTGAAAGATGATTACAATTACTATTAAACAACAGCATAAAAAAAAAAAATATTCGTATTAAAATTTTTGTGTACTTTAGCAAGTATTATAATTTGTTTTAATCGCACAGGTTATTATCGTTGTTGTTTACTGTTTCTTCTGTTACAGTTGTTGTTGTTGCTGCTGTTTTTACTGTTTGTTATTATAATACGCTGCTATATTCATCGTTATTAAAAACTTTATTAATTCCATTGCCATTTGACGATCTTTTTTCTCTTTTGTCTTTAAATTATCTTTGCGATGCTGTCGCATAAATTTGATGACAAGCGATCATACCCGTTTTAGTTTCACGAACCAATTCGATGAGTTCCTTTTTTGATAGATTATTAATTGGATGGTCGAATAATCGAGCTGTTATAACTAATGGAATTCTCTGAAAATAAGTGATATAACTTTTTTTTTTTTTTTAAGAAAAATGTATGAATAATTTCAAAAGAAAAAAGACATCTAACATTATCACATATTTTTAACTCAGTTTTAATTTAATCTTATAATATGAATATATTTGCTCATTTGAATATCAGTATGAACATTTAACATGTATTAGCGCTAACAAAAATTGTTTAATGTATTTCAGATGCACAACTTTTGTAAAGTTTTAAATACAAAAATTTTTAGTATTTCCAAAGAAAAATAAAGAGAAAAAAGTAACGGATAAAAAGCTATAACATCAGTGAAAAAGTAAGATAATAATAAAAGACAGAGATAATAATAATAATGAATTATTTTTTTTTTTTTGATAATGCAGAAGTTTAAAGTGAAAGGTAAATAAATAATAAATAAAGAATAAACATTACTCCAGCACGTGCACGGCTTGTTACAAACAAGTTCCAAAGTTGTTCCGCACGGCTTTTATTCTGCAAACAAAAATAAAAATGATTAAATATAGCAAAAAGGGTTGAAAAGAACAAGTTAAGCAAAAGGGAAGAAATAAAAAAATGGTTCCGCTAAATGTATTTTTTATAAAAGTATTATCCTTCAATGAGTGAAAATTCATTATGAAAAAACATCGAACAAAGAAATTTCTTTTTCTTTTTAGTCACTCCACGAAAGTCATTTTTTTCCTGCATAAATTATTTTGTCCTTTCGCTTTTCACACAAATTGCAGAAAGTAATACTTATGTGAACTTCAAAAAAAAAAAAAAAAGCAAATTCAACAAAAAAAAAAAAAGAAAAATTTGATAGATTGCAAGAAGATTGTGACAGAGGTGACAAAGAATATGTAATACCATCAACTGACATATTTTCTTATCTTTCGAACTTTTAAAACCGAGAGATATTGTTATTTGTGTCAA